GTTCTTAGAACCTAAAGCTAGCTACAGCATACCTAATAAAGAACTAAAAGCTATACTAAACATAGTAAGAGTATAGGCTACAGAGCTACACAAGATAGCAAAACCTTTTTATATTATAATAGACTATGCAAATTTAGTTATGTTCTTAATAGTAAAAAAGCTTTTACTAATGCACATAAAATAAGTAATAAAACTTGCATAGTTTAACTACATTATTAAGCATGTCTTAGAAGCGCAAAATTAGCAGGCTAATGCTCTTAGCTAAAGGCTAGATTACTTTAATAAAGAAAAAGAAAAAACTAAGAAATTTACTTTTTTTAAAAAAACTAATAAAAGGTAGATTTATAATAAGCCTTAACTTATAAAAGAAATCTGTATGCTTATAGCTATTAAGTAAGGATAAAAGAATTTAGTTTAAAAATATTATAAGTTCTTAATGTTTAAACACTTAGAAATAAGCACTCTTTAGAAGAAGCTAAGGGCTGCTATACTAAGACAGATACTAAAAGTAAAGCAACTGTGCACTAAGGTGCTTAAAAAATGTAACACCTATAATAAAAATAACTTATAAAGGTATAAGACCTATAGATACTTATAACTAATTAAAGCCTTAAAGCAGCTATAAATAATAGTTATAATAGATTTTATTACTAAGCTTCCTCTATTAAAGAAACTAAGAATAAAAAGAATGTGTAATATAATTATAGTAACTTTTAATAAAACTACTAAATACCTGCACACTTAGCTCTTAAAAAAAATAATAGCTAAAAAGTTTATCTATAAATTAAAATAAAACATAGTATTAGTATATAAATGCCTTAAGATTATTATCTTTAACTAGAATAAACTATTTACTAGTAGATTCTAGAAAGCAGCTATAAGGCACCTTAGCATAACACATCAGCTGTTTACAGCCTACTATCTGCAGACAGACAGTTAAACTAAAAGAGTAAACACTAAAGTAGAAAAATACTTTAGAAAATATGTCTTCTACACCTAGAATAATTAGGCAGAATAGCTTCTAATAGCATAGTTAGCTATTAACATAGTAAAATTAGCTATAATAAAGAAAACGCTATATAAAGCTAATTTTAAGTATAACCTATACTTTGCGCTACATAGAAATTAACTTATAAACTTTTAGAAGTTAATTAACTAGTTGTCTAATTTATAAAGCATATATAAAAGGTTAGCAGTTAAGGCTAAATCTAGTTAAGAAATAATAAAAAAATATGTAAATAAATTATAATAACTAGGACTAGAAATCTACTTAGAAGACTACATATATCTTAACACTAAAAACTTTAAGATACTAAGACCTTCTAGAAAGCTAGTAAAGAAAAGAATAAAACCTTATAAAGTCTTGTAAACTTAATAAGATAATTGCAAACTTAAGCTTTTCTTATATATAAAGATACACCTATAGTTCTATGTCTCTAGGCTAGAAAAGGCACTTAAAGAAATTCCCTTATTTACATAAAAATAAAAAAAATAAAGAAACAGAATATAAAGTTAAACATATTATTAGTAATTAGAAAAATAAAAAGGAATTTTTAGTAAAATAAAAAAAATAGCCTACTAGTAAAAACATATAAAAACTAGCTAAAAATTTATAGAACATACAGCTGTTAGTATAAAAGTACCTTTAAGCTTATCTAAAAGAAACTAGCTAGGCAATAAGGCACTTATATTAAAAGAAATAGCTACATTATTACTAGATAGCAGCAGCTTTTAGAGATAAGTCCTAGCTAATAAGAGCTGCAGAGAGGAATAGCTCTCTACTTTAGCCTCTAAAGCTTCTATTTTATCTAAAGAGAAGAGGTTTCCTTCTAAGTACTTTATATGTTAAGCCTTTAACAGATCTAGCAACTTTTAGATATAATCCTGTTTAGAACACTCTCTAGCTGTTACCTCTAGAGTTGCCTAGACCTAACATAATATCTTTTTTTTTAGCTTCTGCTTTTAGGCTTTTGTAACAGCAGCTTTTTAAAGAAGCGTTTCTTTCTTCTTCTCTAACTAATCCTACGCAGCATTAGAAATAAAGGTGTTATATTTACTATGTTTTTTTACACACTTAACGCATTTATCTAAGAATAGAGTTAATACACAAAACAACTTAAAAGCTTAGTAAGTGCTATAGAGTCTTATCTTTGTCTAATAAAGAGGATTAAAATAAAGAGTAATATAAAGGTAGTAGAATAAATAAGACTAACAAGCTATTTAGTTTAAAAAAAATAAATATTAGAAATGCTTTTTAGTAGGTAGGCGCCTACTTTATAGATAAACCTTTACTAACACAGTTGTGTAAGCAGAGCAGTAAGGACGCTGCTAGGGAGAAGGGGCAGCGTGTTACAGTCTATGGTTAGACTAGCGTAACTCCACCGGCAGTGCTCCACAATCTAGCTAGATTAGGGCAGGGTTCGCTTATGGACTAATTAGAGGACACAGAAGCGGCGCAGCTGCCTGCGATAGTAGAAGAATGCGTTGTCTAGTAGGAAGACAGGCTGCAAGTCTAGGTAGCCTAAGGTAGCTTAAGGAGCTTACCTTAGCAGGCTACTATAAACTCCCTTTGCTCCCCTTAGCACCCTCTAAACATGTATATAGTTCCCACCTTAAACAACCTTTAGAAGGTGTGTTTAATGTTTAGTTTATTCTCTACATAGACTAAGTAGCATTTAGCTTTCTAAAGAGCTGTAATACTATTTGTATATCTTGCACTATATATACCTCTAATTCTGTCCAACAGGACTGTTTAACCCGGCCTCCCTACTGCCGCACACAGGGCAAACCACGATCCGGTCACTCTCCCTTCCTCCAGTAGCCCATTAGCCTGTACGTAGGACTGTACACCCTACCGGTTGGCCCCTACCGCCCGTCCTACTTCCCCCCTAGGAATATCACTAGACCCGAGTGCTTCCCAGAAGCAAGGATTGTAACACTCGCTTGGGCTTGTCCTGTTTCTTCGGCCTTCCTCTTTACTAGACAATGCATTCCTCCGTAATCCTAGGCAGCCGCGCTGCCTCCTCGTTTCCCGATTGGTCCGTAAACGAGCTCTGCCCCAACCTTGCTAGTGTTACGGCCAACGAACCGACCGTAATCTCCCCACCAGATGTTCCCTACAGCCTAAGCGATCACAGATGGAAAGCGCTTAACCCCGTATTAGGCGAATCACGTGACAGATCGGATGAGGAATGGCTCCGGCTTTTAGACAAAAGCCTAGCGGAGTGCGTCATCCAATAGGACCATGAGCCTTGCAGGTCTGCAGGCTATGCAGGCCATGCAGGCAACAAGCATGCAAACATGCATAGCATGCACTGCATGCAAAACCCATGTATATAGTTTCGATCACGACCATAGTTAGAAGGTCGTGATTACCATTTAGTCTTTACCTACCTAATAGACTAAGAGGCATTGAAACCTTTACAAAGAGGACTCTGCCGCCTTGTATATCTTGCACCACATATACCTCCTTTCCTGTCCTTTTGGATCAGGTTTGCCAGCTCCCCATACAGCCGCTGGGCCAAACCACAGCCTACCTTCTTAACTTCGCCTCACCCACACTCTGCTCGACGGACTGTACACCCGATCCAGCTAAGTCCTTTTTCCCATCCTCTAACATCACCATAGGCCGTAGTGCTCCCGAAAATACCATTTCTTCGGAGCAAGGATTGTAACAGCTAGATTGTGGAGCACTTCGGGTGGAGTTACGTCAGTCCAACCATAGACCGTAACATGTAGTTTGCTGCAATTTGCTGTAGTTTACTGCAATTTGCTATAGTTTGCTGCAATTTGCTGTAGTTTGCTACAATTTGCTGCAATTTACTTTATGCATTTCCTAACACTGCTAGGTAATCTCTTACTAACACCTCTAGACATTAGCCTATTACATTTAAACAGCAGTTAAAGAAGCAAAACTAGCAGTTGTGCAAGCAAAACAGCTTGTTAAGGTATTACATGTACTACATTAATCTTTGCAGCAATAGAGAGGCAGAGGCAGAGGCAGAAGCAGCGCTAGAGCTCCCCAGCACTCTAAGAAATTCCTGCAGAGGCAACAAACTACGCAAGCTGCAGCTCTACAACTAGGGCTTTAATGCTAAAACAATTAAATTAAAGATATTAGGTAGCAGTATTAGGCGTAGCGTGGCGGTATTAGGCAGTGAAAGGAACAGGTGCAACGCTAGAGAACGCAAGGTGCAAAGAAGAGGAAGACTATTGTTGTAACAAGGTAGGCGCCCCGCCTGCTAAGCTAATACTATACAACTTTCCCTACTGTACTAAAAGGTACGCACAAGAAGACTTAAGCTAAGTATTCTCACATAGTATAATATATATATAGGTAATGCTAGGGTAAGCACTAGCACTAGCAGTTGTCTCTAGCCTAGCCTAAACCTCTATAAGCGAGAGAAGGCCACGTGGTTGACTGTGCCGACCTTGTTACACATTATGCTACAACTATTCTTTAACCTAAATAACCTACCTTAATGTACTAACTATTGCTCTAAGCAAGCTTTGCTTTTACAGATTATTTATAAACTGTTGTAGTATTTTATATTGAGTCTTGTTAAGGGAGCTTATTATAAATTTTGGTAAGGACTATTAAGTCGCCCTTACTAAGCTTTTTAACTAGAGACCTTAAGGTTTATCGAATAATGCTTTATGAAACCAAAGATGTTCCGCTCGTCCTTGGATCCGCCGTTTTCGGGACATGCAGCCCCTTTCGGCAAAAGACACTCCCCCAAATCCTTAAATCCTTGCATAAAACCTGACCAACAACAGGCCGTGAACTCCCTTGTTCTTGGCTAGCTCGTGTCATTACCTTCTATAATTAAGTCAAGACAAGGTGTTTTGCTTGGGTTAAACACACAGACAATCTTTTGCAACAGAAAGTTTACTAATAATCTGTATATTAAGAATTTCTTGAAGTAGACAAGGGCAATCCAGGGTAGGAGAAGGAAGTATTATTTACTTTAGTTTTATAATTCTACTAGAAGTGTACGAGGTTAAATCAGTAAAGAACAGGTATCAGGAAAAAGCAGGGGGTCTAAGATAACAAGTGCCGCAAAAGGCCTCGTGATCCGACAACCTAATACAATACATCTCAACAAAATCACGGTCTTAGCCTTGTCTATGTTCTGGGCTCGCCTGACCGTTTCGATAACGCCGAAAATCCTTACGCTGATAAGACACTGAGGGCCTTTTTTGTTGCACTGCAGTAAATCGAACATCGTCGAGCTAGCTTTGGTGCACGAAAGCTGGAATCTCACAATCGCAGACACGCACATTTCGTTTAGTGGAGGCTACACAGTAGACTTGGGACGACGCTCGAAAAGAGTACTACTACTTCGACTACGCCGAAAACATATGTTATCAAGATGATTAAGAACCCACCTTGATCTGCAATATTCTTTGTATCGAGTACAGAGGGCGCCATTCTGATCATCAGATGGAAAGGGAGGAAGTGTTATGAACGAGGCGAAACGAGCCTTGCACGAGGAGAAAAGGAAGAGAGCAGACCGTCATCTAGTCTTAGTTACGTTGTTGGTCTTGAGCATACGTATGTGCTCCCATACCTTCCATACCTCTACCCTGTGTCCCTAAGCTGATATATCTTAACAGATATATCGGGTCTTTCCAATACATTTAAACCATGGTTCGACGCCACGCCATTCCTAGCAACACCCATGGGGAAACTTGGATGCGAGCAATATATACACAAGCGAAGTGAAAGAGACGTAGATAAGACCTTCTGATACTTGCAGGGGTGGGGGTTTGGGAGGGATATCCCTTGACTTGACTTGCAATGATTCCTCCCATATACTATAGTTACACTATTCTACAACATTATGTGATACCATCCGTGGTGCGTCGGTAAGTATTAGTTCTGTCCACGAATGATCTGGGCTCTGACACGATAGTTGAAGGCCCTTAGAGGTCTCCAAGAAGGGTCAAATACAAGAACTAGATGGATACTGCATGTCCTCAACTGCAGGTGTTCGTATTGTGTGGTGGCCAATTGAGGACGGCCCTGCTACCGTGAAAGCTGACAGGTCAAAGGACATGTTTTGCTTATTTTGGTGTCTCAATAGAACTGCTGACATAGCACTGATGGGGCCAGAAGGGTTTGCATGACACGGTGGCGAGTCTTCTTTAATAGACACGAAGCCGACGAATAGCTCGGAGGGCTGGAGGTGGCCGAGTGAAAGGAACTTACTGAAGATTTGTGAGAGAGTGATCCAGTTGCCTAAGGCTCTACTAAGATAGAACTAGGGTCACACAAGCTAGTAAATAGTCATGTAGAGTTTTCAAGTTGTGATTCTAGGGAAAGACTATCGTGGTCAACTCTTAGGGTAGCTCGCTTTCCGTGAACTAGCTTGATTTCCTGTATAGCGATGTCGGTTTGCAGCAAACTTAGTCGAATAAGGGGTCAGATGCCTAAGTCAGACATTTAAGAGACACTACAGACCTGACTTTTCCCAGGGTATTGGAAGCATAGTTAGACTGATGGATTTTCGTCGTGGCTTTAAGTTCTCTCATTATTTCGTTGATTTTAAACGTTAATTGGTTCAATTTGGCTTCTTCTGAAACCATACCGCCTTCTATCGTAGGGTTAGTTATGAAGCTGATTGAGGAGGGCATATAGAATTGACAGCAGTCAATTAGATGGTGAGGGTCAAACTGGGTAGATTGAGGTGAAGTGCAAGGTCTCTAGAGCTCGAGAGAGCTCTGGGGCAGCTATATAGTAGATAAAATGGCGCTAGTCTTAATTATGTAGGCTCTAGTCCTTAATAGAAAACGGGTATGGGTCAAGGACCCACATTCACCCTGATGCAGAGTCACGTGAACTAACATCACTTGCAACATCTTGAACGTCTTTGGATTTTTCTGCTAGCTCGGTACCCACTCTTTTGAGTGGCGTCTTGCACGAAATCATCCAAATCCGTAATTACTGCCACGATCTGCTTGCAACGCTTGTACATGTATCACGTGCAGCCTTGGAAGAGTGTGGTCCACGCCATTGGTTGCAAACAAGGGAAACAGGGGAAGAACAGGGTGTATGGCCCGAGGTTGCAGCTGCAGTCCGATGGCTTGTGAAGTCGTTTAACAAAGTTTAGGGCGCAGTATGATAAGTTATCCATCTTTGAGTCTGCAAATTGAGAAACACTTTGTTCCTGTACCTCAACCCCCAGACTGTTTCCAAGCCTTGCGCAGGTTTGGCTGATATTGGTAGCGCCATAAAAGACTGAAGGAGACAGAAAGAGAAACAGATATTATTAGTAATAGAATTGCCGACACCGCCTAATATCAGGCAGAAGTTCAGAATTTGAAAAATAAACGGATCCAAAAAGACTCAACCAAGAGTTTTTTTCACTTAGATGGAAGGATGCGTTTCGTTATGCGACTAGTTACCGAAGGCTTAGTCAAGGACTACGACAGCCAATCTAATTAAGGCAACCTGATTTCGATGCATTGTACCTTCTCATTTAACATAGAATAGAACCAGGGTGGGGCCTTTTTACGTTAATAGGAAGAATATTTTTGGTTCTTCTGCAATGACCTACAATAGGTGATAAAATGCAGGAGGGCAAGTCTTGACGCTCCGTGTGAGAGGATTGATGCATTGAATCATGTTCAAGTGTCTCCTTGGTACGACTGCTTCCGGTGTTAATGAGCTGAAATTGCATTAGCCCTTTCTTGCTAGGTGATAACCTAAGCTAGTTAGATTTCTAGAGATCCACTCGCTCAGGCCCGTTCATCTTCTTCGTAGCCCACTTACAAATCAAGCATCATTTGAACACATTGTGGCTTGGATGTTACCAAGGGGCAGACTTCCAGCGTATCCTGTGAATCTAGGGCAACAGGGTGTAGTACGGCAAAACGCTGTCGGCCTAGATATCACACCTTGTAGTCCATCTCTGGAGCACTGCGAATAACTACAGAATCGAGGTGAACTTTATAGACTCCTTGCCCTTGCAATCTAGCCTCTGAATTCCTGCTCGAGCTTCCGAATGTCTTCAGAAACGCTTCTGTATCCAGTCTTCGTTGTCGCCTTCATCGTACTACCTCTTCCGGGCCCACACTCTCGTGGCTGGCCAGAGCCAATGGTTCACGCCCGGAGATTGCATTGACCGTGAGGTTATTGAGGCAGAAAGTCAGCGATATCTAGGCCTTGATGAGCTGGTAAATATTGGAATAGGAACTGGAGAATATAAAGGCCAGCCTGGTTACTGGATAACAGCGTATCGACCTCTCACCACACGAATGATCGAAAATATGAAGCTAGACTCTCAAAGATGGCAACAGAATTTCAGTTCAGGCATGCTTTGACGCTTTATTTAATCTTGGGTAGCTTGTGGGCTAAGATGAGTAAGTTCATATGCAGACTCGATACCTCTTTCAGGAAGGGTACATTGGAGTCCACCTCTAGCCTTAGCACCAAAGGGTGGCCCTTAGACTTAGACACTCTCTGATTCTAGCTCAGAGAGGAGTTCACTGGGATGCAAGATACCGCCATCTGGATACCCTAAACCGTCCCTAGAACATGGTTTAAAAATAGGTCGATATTCCTATTCACAGTTGTCGTTTGGATGCAATAAACCTGTAACGGCACAGGCAAGACAATGGGTCCGAATGCGGTGGGAATCCACTCAGAGGCATATGGGAGTGCGTGGGGACTCAGAACCTGGGAATTTC